GGAGAAAAATGGGAGTTTGGGGTCAGATAAAAACAGGAATTCAGGGTTAGACAAAAACAGGAATTTGGGGTTGGATTTGGGAAGAAAAATGGGAATTTGGGTTGGATTTGGGAAGAAAAATGGGAATTTGGGTTGGATTTGGGGAGAAAAATGGGAATTTGGAGTTGGATTTGGGGAGAAAAATGGGAATTTGGGTTGGATTTGGGAAGAAAAATGGGAATTTGGGTTGGATTTGGGGAGAAAAATGGGAATTTGGGTTGGATTTGGAGAGAAAAATGGGAATTTTGGGTGGGATTTGGGGGAAAAATGGGAATTTGGGGTCAGACAAAAATGGGAATTCAGGGTAGGATTCAGGGACAAAACCAGGAATTTGGGGTTGGATTCAGGGACAAAAATGGGATTTGGGGTGAGACAAAAATGGGAATTCAGGGTTGGATTTGGGACAAAAATGGGAATTTTGGGTTGGACAAAAACAAGAATTTGGGGTTGGATTTGGGGAGAAAAACAGGAATTTGGTGCTGGATTTGGGGACAAAAATGGGAATTTGGGGTCAGACAACAGCAGGAATTTGGGGTTGGATTCGGGAAGAAAAATGGGAATTTGGGTTGGATTTGGGGAGAAAAATGGGAATCTGGAGTTGGATTTGGGGAGAAAAATGGGAATTTTGGGTGGGATTTGGGGAAAAAATGGGAATTTGGGGTCAGACAAAAAAGGGAATTCAGGGTAGGATTCAGGGACAAAACTGGGAATTTGGGGTGAGACAAAAATGGGAATTTGGTGTTGGACAAAACCAGGAATTTGGAGCTGGATTCAGGGACAAAAATGGGAATTTGGGTTCGGACAAAAATGGGATTTGGAGTGAGACAAAAACAGGAATTCAGGGTTGGATTTGGGACAAAAATGGGAATTTGGGGTTGGACAAAACCAGGAATTTGGAAATGGACAAAAATGGGAATTCGGGGTTGGATCCAGGGACAAAAATGGGATTTTGGGGCTGGACAAAAATGGGAATTTGGGGTCGGACAAAAATGGGATTTTGGGGCTGGACAAAAATGGGAATTTGGGGTCGGGCAAAAATGGGAATTCGGGATCTGGACGAGGGGACAAAAGCGGGAATTTGGGGACTGTCCCTGTCCCCACCTGCAGCAGGAACTCGAACTGGTAGATGCAGAGCCCCAGCTCGGCCATGCTGGGCTTGAAGAGCTCGCGCAGCCGGTACTCCTGCATGAGGCGCACGAAGACGCTGAACGCCTCCTCCTCCGGCATCTGCGGAGGGAAAACACACAAAAAGGCAATTCCCATCAGAATCCCTGGAATTCCCAGCAAAATCCAAGGAATTTCCAGCAAAATCCAAGGAATTTCCAGCAAAAAAACATGAAATTCCCATCAAAACCTCAGAATTCCCACCAAACGCTGAACGCCTCCTCCTCCAGCATCTGTGGAGGGAAAACAGAGGGGTTCCCAAAAAAAAAGGGAATTCCCATCAGAATCCCTGGAATTTCCAGAAAAATCCATGGAATTTCCAGCAAAAAACTGTGAAATTCCCATCAAAACCTCAGAATTCCCATGAAATGCTGAACGCCTCCTCCTCCAGTATCTGTGGAGGGAAAACAGAGGGGTTCCCAAAAAAAAAGGGAATTCCCATCAGAATCCCTGGAATTTCCAGCAAAATCCATGGATTTTCCAGCAAAAAACCCCATGAAATTCCCATCAAAACCTCAGATTCCCATCAAATGCTGAACGCCTCCTCCTCCAGTATCTGTGGAGGGAAAACAGAGGGGTTCCCAAAAAAAAAGGAAATTCCCATCAGAATCCCTGGAATTCCCAGCAAAATCCAAGGAATTTCCAGCAAAATCCAAGGAATTTCCAGCAAAAAAACATGAAATTCCCATCAAAACCTCAGAATTCCCACCAAACGCTGAACGCCTCCTCCTCCGGCATCTGGGGAGGGAAAACAGCGGGGTTCCAAAAAAAAAGGGAATTCCCATCAGAATCCCAGGAATTCCCATCAAAAACTCAGGAGTTCCAAGCAAAATCCTGGAATTCCCATCAAAAAAACCCTGTAATTCCCATGGAACTGATGGAATTCCGGTCAAAATCCCAGGAATTCCCATGGAATGCTGAACGCCTCCTCTGGCATCTGCGGTAGGAAAAGCCCAGAATTCCCCAAAAAAAACCCCAGGAATTCCCATCAAAAACCCAGGAATTCCCATCAAAATCCTGGAATTCCCATCAAAGCCCTGAAATGTCCCAGAAACTTTTGGGAATTCTGAATTTCCCAGAATTTTGAGATTCCCCGGAATTCCCACAAAAACCACCAAAATTCCCACAAAAATCACTGGAATTCCCACAAAACCCCCTGAAATTCCCAGAAATGTTTGGGAATTCTGAGATTCCCACAAACCCCCAGAATTCCTACAAAACCCCCTGGAATTCCCACAAATCACCTGGAATTGCCATCAAAGCCCTGAAATGTCCCAGAAACTTTTGGGAATTCTGAATTTCCCAGAATTTTGAGATTCCATGAAAACCTCCAGAATTCCCACAAAACCCCCAGAATTCCCAAAAAATCCCCCAAATTCCCACCTGCATCAGCAGCAGTCCCACGATGAAGGCGCTGCCCTGGCAGTACCCGACCTCCCGATCCACCAGCGAATAGGCCTGGAAAAATGGGAAAAATCCCAAAAATCCATGGATTTGGGGTCACAACCCGGGCTCTGGACATTCCTTGGAAGGGAAGCCCTGACCACGGACGGAAATTGGGATTTTTTGGGATCCCAGGATTGGGATGCGGCTGAAAAGTTGGGTTTAGATCCCAAAAAACGTCAAGTTTTGGGTTGGAAATCCCAATTAATGGGATTAATTAAGGAAAAATGAGGTTGGGAATGAGGGAATGTGGGGAACATCGGTGGTTGCAGGAGTTTGGGATGGAACCCAAATCCCACAGAAATCAGTTTGGGGTGGGACCAAATCCCTCAAAATTTGGGATGGGAGAAAATCCATCAAAATTTGGAGAGGAACCAAATCCATCCAAATTTGAGGTGGAACCAAATCCTTTAAAGAATGGGCTTGGGATGGAACCAAATCCCTCAGAATTTGGGCTGGAGACCAAATCCCCCAAAAATGAGTCTGGGATGGAACCAAAAGTGAGTTTGGGGTGGCCCCAACCTCTCCTGAGGCCTCTGCATTCCCATGCCACCAATGGCGGCCCCCAAATCGGTGTCACCTCCGTGACGTTGAAGAACATCTCCTGTCCCACCTCAGATCCCAGTCCCAGTGCCACCCCCGGCAGTGTCCCCAGGCTGTCACCTTCATGACGTTGAAGAGCACCTCCTGTCCCACCCCACATCTGTGTCCCAAGTGTCCCCAAGGCCATGTCACCTTCATGAAGAACATTTCCTGTCCCACCCTTCATGACATTGAAGAGCACCTCCTGGCCCTGTCCCACCTCAGATCCATGTCCCTGTCCCACCCGAGATCTGTGTCCCAAGTGTCCCCAAGGCCATGTCACCTTCATGACAATGAAGAGCACCTCCTGTCCCACCCCAAATCCCTGCCCCAGTGCCACCCCAGACCCATGTCCCAAGTGTCCCCAGGCTGTCACCTTCATGACGCTGAAGAACATCTGTCCCACCTCAGATCCCTGTCCCACCCCACATCTGTGTCCCAAGTGTCCCCAAGGCCATGTCACCTTCATGAAGAACATTTCCTGTCCCACCCTTCATGACATTGAAGAGCACCTCCTGGCCCTGTCCCTGTCCCAGTGCCACCCCTGGCAGTGTCCCAGGTGTCCCCAGGTTGTCACCTCCATGACGTTGAAGAGCATCTCCTATCCCACCTCAGATCCCTGTTCCAGTGCCACCCCAGATTTGTGTCTCAGGTATCCCCAAGGCCATGTCACCTTCATGATGTTGAAGAGCACCTCCTGGCACCATCCCACCTCAGATCCCTGTCCCAGTGCCACCCCAAATCCATGGCCCAGGTGTCCCCAGGTTGGCACCTTCATGACATGAAGAGCACCCTCTGTCCCTACCCCTGTCCCAGTGCCACCCTCAGCAGTCCCCAGGCTGTCACCTTCATGACGTTGAAGAGCACCCTCTGTCCCTGTCCCACCTCAGATCCATGTCCCTGTCCCACCCGAGATCTGTGTCCCAAGTGTCCCCAAGGCCATGTCACCTTCATGACAATGAAGAGCACCTCCTGTCCCACCCCAAATCCCTGCCCCAGTGCCACCCCAGACCCATGTCCCAAGTGTCCCCAGGCTGTCACCTTCATGACGTTGAAGAGCACCTCCTGGCCCAGGCTGTCCTGGCCCTTGAAGAAGTCGTGCTCGGGGTAGGTGCGGGCGATGTCGCGGCGGATCAGGCGCTCGCAGGGCGAGCTCATGCGCAGCAGCTCCGAGTACTGCGCCTTGAGCGGCAGCTCGGCCGCGCTGCACAGCAGCTGCCACACGATGGCCCGGAAGTGGTGCGGGATCCCCTTCCGGATCAGCTCCTGGGGGGACACACAGACCCCAAATGTCACCTCAAATGTGACCCCAAAGTCATTGTCCCCAAATGTGCTGCCACATGATGGCCCAGAAGTGGTGCGGGATCCCCTTCTGGATCAGCTCCTGGGGACAGAGAGACCCCAAATGTCACCCCAAAGTCATCCCATTGTCCCCAAAGTCATTGAGTCATTGTCCCCAGATGTGCTGCTCCACACGATGGCCCGGAAGTGGTGCGGGATCCCCTTCCGGATCAGCTCCTGGGGACACTGGGGACACTGGGGACAGTGGGGTCAGGGTGACCCCAAACGTGGTCAGAAGGTGGGGTGGTCAAAGCAGGACCCAGGCTGTGTCCTCCTCCTGGACAAATCCATCCCAAAACTGAACAAATTGGACAAATCCATCCCAAAACGTGGCCAGGTGACCAAATCGGCCCCAAAACTGAACAAACTGGACAAATCCATCCCAAAACCGAATAAATTGGACAAATCCATCCTAAAATGGAACAAATTGGAGAAATCCATCCCAAAAAATGACCCTTTGGGACAAATCCATCCCAAAACTGAGCAAATTGGACAAATCCATCCCAAAATGGAACAAATTGGACAAATCCATCCCAAAACGTGGCCAGGTGACCAAATCGGCCCCAAAACTGAACAAACTGGACAATTCCACCTCAAAACCCAACAAACTGGGAGAATTTCACCCCAAAACACAAGGAAATGGACAAACCCACCCCAAAACACAAGAAATTAGACAAACCTATCCCAAAACACAACAAACCGGATAAATCCATCCTAAACCAGAACAAATTGGAGAAATCCATCCCAAAAAATCCATCCTTTGGGACAAATCCATCCCAAAACCCAACAAACTGGATAAATCCATCCCAAAACTCTTCCAGTTGGACAAATCCTGCTCCACTGGACAAACCCATCTTGAAAAACGACGTTTTGGGACAACTCCCTTCAAAAATTCATCCAGTTGGACAAATCTATCCCAAAACACAACAAACTGGACAAAAATCTACTCCAAAACACAAGAAATTGGAGAAATCCATCTCAAAACCTGCCCCACTGGGCAAATCCACCCCAAAAAACCACAAATCAGGACAATTTAACCCCAAAACCCAACAAATTGGACAAACCCACCCCAAAACACCACAAATTGGAGAAATCCACCTCAAAACCCAAGAAACTGGGACAATTTCACCCCAAAAGCCAAAAAATTGGACAAACCCATCCCAAAAATCATCCCACTGGACAAACCCACCTCAAAACACCACAAATTGGACAAATCCACCCCAAAACGCAAAAGAAATTGAACAATTTCACCCCAAAACACTAAAAAATGGACAAACACACCCCAAAACCCAACAAATTGGGACAATTTCACCCCAAAACCCAACAAATTGGGACAATTTCACCCCAAAACCCAACAAATTGGACAAAATCCACCCCAAAACCCAACAAACTGGACAAATCCATCCCCCCACCCAACAAACTGGACAAATCCATCCCCCCACCCAACAAACTGGACAAATCCATCCCCCCACCCAACAAACTGGACAAATCCACCCCCAAACCCAAGAAACTGGGACAATTTCACCCCAAAACACTATAAAATGGACAAACACACCCAAAACCCAACAAATTGGGACAATTTCACCCCAAAACCCAACAAACTGGACAAATCCATCCCACCACCCAACAAACTGGACAAAAATTCACCCCAAAACCCCAAGAAATTGGGACAATTTCGCCCCGAAACATTAAAAAACGGACAAACGCACCCCAAAACCCAACAAATTGGACAATTTCACCCCAAAGCACCTTGAGCAGCTTCTCCTTCTTCTTCCTCCACTCGTCCCACTCGTTGACGATGCGGCCCCAGAGGATCCAGGTGTCCTCCTCCAGGTGGCTGAGGTTGGACGAGGCCGAGGAGCTGGACACCAGCGAGGAGCCGCTGTTGCGCCGCGAGCCGTTCACCGAGCGCATCGACTTGGAGTCGGCCTCCAGCAGCCTGGGGAGAGCAAAACCATCCCAAAACTCACCCAGAATGACCCAAAACTCACCCAGAACTGACCCAAAAGGTGCTCAGAGGTGGTGAGAGTCACCAAAAAGGTGCCCAGAGGTGGTGGGAGAGACCCAAAATGTGCCCAGAGAGGGTGGGATTGGCCCAAACCTGACCTGGAGAGAGTGACCCAAAACTGACCCAAAAGTGACCCAGAACTGACCCAAAACGTGCCCAGGGCAGGTGGGAGTGACCCAAAAGATGCTCAGGGCAGGTGGGAGAGACCCAAAATGTGCCCAGGGCAGGTGGGAGAGACCCAAAATGTGCCCAGAGAGGGGCTGAAAGCTGACCTGGAGAGAGTGACCCAAAACTCACCCAGAACTGACCCAAAACTCACCCAGAACTGACCCAAAACTCAGCCAGAACTGACCCAAAACTCACCCAGAACTGACCCAAAACTCACCCAGAACTGACCCAAAACTCACCCAGAACTGACCCAAAACTCACCCAGAACTGACCCAAAACTCACCCAGAACTGACCCAAAACTCACCCAGAACTGACCCAAAACTCACCCAGAACTGACCCAAAACTCACCCAGAACTGACCCAAAACTCACCCAGAACTGACCCAAAACTCACCCAGAACTGACCCAAAACTCACCCAGAACTGACCCAAAACTCACCCATGAAATATTCCACCCAAAAAATGGAGACATTCCACCCAAAATGACTCCAAAAATGGAAATA